AATTTAATTGTTCATAATTATTTTAAATTGCTATTTGAGTCGACTAATGGTACGTGTTCCAATGCAGTAATGACTCTTTTAACATAATATGAATGACCTGAATTCATGCCATTAAAAATGGCAAAAATCACTATTTTATGTCATACGTCAACAAAAAGCACAGCAGTTTTTTTAAAAATTACTGCAAATGCCCTCTGACATCTGCCGTTTCAGCCCTGTTGGGGGGGAGGGGGTCTTCATGGTTTTACTAACGGGAGTAAAGAATAACTCCTGCAATAATACTGCATGGCATATGAAGCAACTAAAGATGATTAGGTCTTGTCGTCTCCCAGAAAGCTCCAGTTGACAGAAGGTACAGAAAAGAGGAAAGACATGGGAAAAAAGAGGCTATCCCAAGAGAGAGAAACTCAGAAGTATTTGACTTTGGCCTTTATCCTGATTCAAGGCGTAAAAGGTAATGATGATGATCCGCCATAGAGTACCTTGGATGCAATGAAGTTTCTCCCATACTCATGAGTCTTGTGCAGAACCTCATCCATCGTGCTGCGCATCTCATCCGCTCCTGGCATCCACCTGATCAAAAACAACAAACAAACAATAAAAACCAATAATTTTCCTTCAAAACAATGCATGATGCAAGCATTGATTTTCATGGACTTATTAGTGTGGAATTTACACTTGCAAAGACACCTGAGAAATAAACAATAAAAAAACCCTCGACTTGTAAGGACCCTCCAGTGCTCACAGCCCTCAGCTGCGGTTCCACATTCTGCCATACCCAGGCCAGTCTGTGTCTTAACGTTGTCTGTTCATGTTACTCTTTGTCTTCCCCTAGCTCTCCTGCCCCACATCTTTCCTTCGAACACCTAATTCACAATGGTCTGGTGGTGTTTTATATGACCAAAATATTGTACTTCTCTACTTTACCTTTTGTTCAGCAGGGTTTTTCTTGTGTGGAGAATCTGACACACCTCATTGACAGGCTCTTTGTTTTACAGCTAATTCTGGCCATTCTGAAGTAGGACATCTCTTAAACACAACTAGACCTTTATAATGACCAATGACCAAACTGAAGGGGAAGGGGGGTTCTTGCAATAAAGGCCTTACAGGAAACAAACAGGTCATTCTGAAAGCAGAGCATGTGACCCACAGGAAAGATAAAGAAGAGTTGCAAACCCTCACTCCCAAAACAGAAAAAGATAATTCAATTACTAAACACAGCTGCTATCAACAATAATTTGTAATACCCAGTCACATGGTGACTCTTACCCATCATCAGCACCGCAGGTCCGCAGTGATGGACTACACCATTTGCACCAAAATCATCAACTTGCAAATCAGAAGAAGAATACTGTGCTGCTACACTTGAATATATTCGCCCCTCCTCTCTCTCACAGAAATCCACCAAAAACTGTTCTCTTCTGCCACAACAAAAATCATGAGATCATAAAAAATACTCTGCAAATCTCTTGGAGAAAAAAATAATATTATTTGAAGCAACAACTTAAAAACTAATAAGCTTTCAAGATTTCTTCCACTGTGAAAATAACAATCATACAATCACTACATCAAGTGAAAAAATTGGCCCTAAAATTAAAGTGCTGTCAAAATGAAAAGAAAACCCCCCCCCAAAACTCACTGTGCCATGTCAGAGTTGACAGTATTGTTCAAAATGTTCTGGGCAGAGGTCACCATGTACATGCTCTCTTTCTGGATCTGATAAAAATGAAAGAATGGATAAACAAATAAATTATTTTTAAAAAATGCATTTTAAAAAATCCACACCCATAAAAACAAAATGAGGCAAACAACAAAACAAACAAATGAATTTACATAGACAAATAAAAGAATGAACAAATGAAGGCGGATAAGAAATTTACAAGTGAATGAATGAGTGAATAAATCTTCAAAAAGAATGAATGAAGTTCATTAGGTAAAATATCTCTGACACAAAAATCACAAAAATAGTACATGAAAGTTGTAAAAGGAACTACCACTGTAATACACCCTGATTTATGCAATTTACATAATTTAGGAGATTGGGTGCTTCCACCCAGCCTGTCAAGGTCAACTCGTGCTGAATGAAATACTACATCCCAGCAGAGAAGAGATACTAGACCAAAAATATCTCCCCACACTGGAATCGAAGTCACACCTTCAGCACACAGTGGCAAAGAGCTTAACTATTACACCACAGGCACCAGTTGCACGCTAGTCAAATGTAGCTTAATTTGGGTACCGCATGAAACAAACAAGTCTTCAAATCAATATTATTCAGAGGAAAACTGAAATGGAAGGGGGGGTTAGGATGTGAGAGAACAACTTTGAGGAAGGATAAATTTTGAATAAAAGTTTTTGGAAAATTGTCTATGATGAGGCCGCACAAAGAGACAGGTTAGCAGTGAGATAGGCTGGAGCCACTGACCGACATGAACATGCCGAGGTTTTCCTTGACAAACTCCACGATGTTGCTGATCTGGAACATTCCGCTGCCCTGGCTCAACATCTGCCACAGGTTGTCCATGTTGGAGGTCACCGGATCCACCTTGGACGTTTTGTTCTGGCAGAGTTGATGACAAAGAAAATAAGCAAATACAATGTATGGCAAAGCAAAACATTTTTCTTTAAAAAATTTTATCTTTAAATAGCAACAACAAAAGTAAACTAGCTAACACAATATACAGTGAACTAAAAAGAAAAAAACAAAAACATTTTCCCTTCATAATTTGTGAATAATCAAAGTAAAGTAAATTAGCAACTACAGAGTGTAACAAGTCTTTTTTTGCCCTCAATATCTGACATACCACTCAGCACAAATCCTTTCCATTAACAACCCAGATTCATCATGTCCAGACAAGACTGTGTAAGCTTACAAAAGATGTGACACATCTTCCTGAGCAATCGTCCTTTCTTCTCCATGTACTTCACACACATCACTCCCAAAAAAATAATAGTCCTGACTTTTTATAGTCGCCAGACAGTGTTGATATGGACATTTTTTTCATTCCTTAACTACAAGGTTGACTCATCCATTGGAATAATCCTCAATTCTACTCCCTGCCTCAACACACATCACTCTGTAAAGCTACAGCTTTTCACAATTTTTTATGGAAATATCACCAACAGCAGAGTAAAAAACGATCGACTCATCCTTTGCAACAATCACAGTTTCTACTCTTTATATCCAACATCTTCGTCAAAAATATCTTATTGGATTCCTCAACAAGACGAATGACCACCCAAAACACCTCAAAAATTGCCCACTGAACTGACCACTTGATCTGAGGTCTTGTCCTCCGAGGACAGCATGGATTCGTAGACAGTGTCCCACACCTCCAGGACCTGGTTCACCAGATTGTCCTGTTCCTCTTCGCTTCCGTCCACAAACTCTTTGACCTGGAAATAAATCAAATAGCAAGAGTGAGTGTGTGTGTGTGTGAGAGTGTGTGTGTGTGTGTGTGTGTTTGTGTGTGTCCCTGTCCGGGATAGAAGGGGGGGGGGGGGGGGCAGGTGAAAGAGAAAGAGAGAGAGAGGGAAAGATTGCCAATTTAATTGTTCATAATTATTTTAAATTGCTATTTGAGTCGACTAATGGTACGTGTTCCAATGCAGTAATGACTCTTTTAACATAATATGAATGACCTGAATTCATGCCATTAAAAATGGCAAAAATCACTATTTTATGTCATACGTCAACAAAAAGCACAGCAGTTTTTTTAAAAATTACTGCAAATGCCCTCTGACATCTGCCGTTTCAGCCCTGTTGGGGGGGAGGGGGTCTTCATGGTTTTACTAACGGGAGTAAAGAATAACTCCTGCAATAATACTGCATGGCATATGAAGCAACTAAAGATGATTAGGTCTTGTCGTCTCCCAGAAAGCTCCAGTTGACAGAAGGTACAGAAAAGAGGAAAGACATGGGAAAAAAGAGGCTATCCCAAGAGAGAGAAACTCAGAAGTATTTGACTTTGGCCTTTATCCTGATTCAAGGCGTAAAAGGTAATGATGATGATCCGCCATAGAGTACCTTGGATGCAATGAAGTTTCTCCCATACTCATGAGTCTTGTGCAGAACCTCATCCATCGTGCTGCGCATCTCATCCGCTCCTGGCATCCACCTGATCAAAAACAACAAACAAACAATAAAAACCAATAATTTTCCTTCAAAACAATGCATGATGCAAGCATTGATTTTCATGGACTTATTAGTGTGGAATTTACACTTGCAAAGACACCTGAGAAATAAACAATAAAAAAACCCTCGACTTGTAAGGACCCTCCAGTGCTCACAGCCCTCAGCTGCGGTTCCACATTCTGCCATACCCAGGCCAGTCTGTGTCTTAACGTTGTCTGTTCATGTTACTCTTTGTCTTCCCCTAGCTCTCCTGCCCCACATCTTTCCTTCGAACACCTAATTCACAATGGTCTGGTGGTGTTTTATATGACCAAAATATTGTACTTCTCTACTTTACCTTTTGTTCAGCAGGGTTTTTCTTGTGTGGAGAATCTGACACACCTCATTGACAGGCTCTTTGTTTTACAGCTAATTCTGGCCATTCTGAAGTAGTACATCTCTTAAACACAACTAGACCTTTATAATGACCAATGACCAAACTGAAGGGGAAGGGGGGTTCTTGCAATAAAGGCCTTACAGGAAACAAACAGGTCATTCTGAAAGCAGAGCATGTGACCCACAGGAAAGATAAAGAAGAGTTGCAAACCCTCACTCCCAAAACAGAAAAAGATAATTCAATTACTAAACACAGCTGCTATCAACAATAATTTGTAATACCCAGTCACATGGTGACTCTTACCCATCATCAGCACCGCAGGTCCGCAGTGATGGACTACACCATTTGCACCAAAATCATCAACTTGCAAATCAGAAGAAGAATACTGTGCTGCTACACTTGAATATATTCGCCCCTCCTCTCTCTCACAGAAATCCACCAAAAACTGTTCTCTTCTGCCACAACAAAAATCATGAGATCATAAAAAATACTCTGCAAATCTCTTGGAGAAAAAAATAATATTATTTGAAGCAACAACTTAAAAACTAATAAGCTTTCAAGATTTCTTCCACTGTGAAAATAACAATCATACAATCACTACATCAAGTGAAAAAATTGGCCCTAAAATTAAAGTGCTGTCAAAATGAAAAGAAAACCCCCCCCCAAAACTCACTGTGCCATGTCAGAGTTGACAGTATTGTTCAAAATGTTCTGGGCAGAGGTCACCATGTACATGCTCTCTTTCTGGATCTGATAAAAATGAAAGAATGGATAAACAAATAAATTATTTTTAAAAAATGCATTTTAAAAAATCCACACCCATAAAAACAAAATGAGGCAAACAACAAAACAAACAAATGAATTTACATAGACAAATAAAAGAATGAACAAATGAAGGCGGATAAGAAATTTACAAGTGAATGAATGAGTGAATAAATCTTCAAAAAGAATGAATGAAGTTCATTAGGTAAAATATCTCTGACACAAAAATCACAAAAATAGTACATGAAAGTTGTAAAAGGAACTACCACTGTAATACACCCTGATTTATGCAATTTACATAATTTAGGAGATTGGGTGCTTCCACCCAGCCTGTCAAGGTCAACTCGTGCTGAATGAAATACTACATCCCAGCAGAGAAGAGATACTAGACCAAAAATATCTCCCCACACTGGAATCGAAGTCACACCTTCAGCACACAGTGGCAAAGAGCTTAACTATTACACCACAGGCACCAGTTGCACGCTAGTCAAATGTAGCTTAATTTGGGTACCGCATGAAACAAACAAGTCTTCAAATCAATATTATTCAGAGGAAAACTGAAATGGAACACAATGTAATAACGGGCACCCAATCTAAAAAGAAAAATAGCGTACCAGTTTAAATTGTCAAATACAGCCCCCCCCCCCCCCATCGTCAGGGAGAAAAGTGGTTGTCTTAAACAGGAAGGCAGATTCTACAGTGTCATCTTAATATATAAAATGCCAAAAGGGAAGTGGGAGGGGGCTGTTTGTACACATGGTTGTCTAACACAGATGGGCCAATACAACAGGTTCCACTGAACCTTAAAAAAAAATAATGTCTTAACAAAGAAAACAAAGAAATAAGTCCCAAATAGCATAATAAAAACAAACAAACAAACAAACCCATGTTTAAAGGGATATCATATCATATCCAACCAATTATTCCTTCCAACCGAAGTAGTAGCCAGTTTAAAAGGGTGGGAAAATGTATGAGGAGCCCAGCGCTCACCTGCACGGCACCGATGATGGTGAACAGAAAAGTCCCAACCAGCAGCATGAGGATGAAGAGAATGCTCGTGGCATTGTCCAGGCCTTGCTCCAAAACTGAAATCATCTGCAACAGAATACGCAAGGTAAACAGGATAGAAAAAACAAAGTTAGCAAAATAAACAAAATCAACAAAATGCACTACAAAGCTGAAGGAATAGACAAAAGTTAGTAAACTAAACAACAAAAGCTAACAGAATAGATAAATAGCAAAATATACAACTAAAGCTATCAAAATTGACAAAGTTAACAAAGTACACTGCAAAAGCTATCAGAATAGACAAAGTTAACAGAACCAGACAAACTTTACAGAATGCACAATGTGTATATAGGACTATTAGCATCAAGCACCATCCTTACAGGAGATAAATTTAACATTGTGTCACGACGCAGTGGAACCAGGCGCTCGTCAAATTTTTGGCATACGGAGTTATTTACATCGTCCTAAAGGTCATTCATTTGTCTCGCTTTTGATGAAAAATATATCCATTTATCTTGAAAAGAAGTCGAGATATTTGCCATTAAAGGGGGTGGGGTCAGTTGGTTTCAGAAGTAAAATTAGCGAGAAAATGGCCACCAAAGTTTGGTGACTTCCATAGCTTAAGTGTCCTAGGAAACTGCAAAATATAATTTTGGTGTCTTTAATCAATGTTTTTCCATAAAATCCACACATAGAAGTCTTCTGGAATGGACATACAAGGTGTTGAGCCAAAACACAAAAATTAGAAGAAAAAAAAGTCCAAACTGGCCGAAAAATGGCGATTTCTTGGATATCATTAATTTGGCGAGCGCCTGATTTCACCACGATGCCTCACATGTAATTACCATAAATTCTATTCACTTCACTATGGCACTCAGCTAAAAGGAACAAGACAGACAAATTTACCTTCTGATCTCCCTTGAGGGCGAGTCGGCCCAAACCCCTTAGACCTCGAGGCATGAGAAGGTCTTTGCGAGAATCCAGCCATTGACGAGCCGAGCTCTTTGTGCTCTCAGCCTTCTCGTGGAACATACCCCCCGAGCTGAACTGTTGAACTGAGGAGAAGATTACATGAAAACCCCCCATTAATTTACCTCCTAAAAAATTGGATTAACAAAAACTATGAACTTACCAAGAAAATAAGATACATAAAACCCCCCCAAAAAACTTTTAAAATGAACTCACAAAAATTTGGGAAAAGGTGAAAAAGATGAATAACTCGCAAAAAAAAAAAATTGGGATCAAATAAAAGGTAAACTCACAACAACAACAAAAAAAGGAATGTAATAAAAAACAAAATCCCTCCCCCCCCCCCCCCCCCCCCAATAAAAAAATGGATTATGTAAGAATTAACTGTAAAAAAAATTGAATAATGAAAAAGATGGACACACAAAACTTCAAAATAAGAAAATGATAACACCCAAAAGATTTGGGGAAAAATAAAAGATTAACTCACTCATCAGAGTAAGCAAGATATTTCATTCATGTCAGCACAACCCTAGAGGACAATTTCCAAGTACACTACACCTCTTTGTGAAGACAATGATAGAAAAAGTATACAAACACCACTGCTGAAGTCAATTTACATCCAATAAATTTTGAAGTTCTTTTTCTTATCATTAAAAGTTTTTTTAAAAACTTAATTTTCAATACAAACTAAATTTTACATTTATTATAACAATATCACATAATAACTTTCAGCAGCTTCCGACAAGGTCCCCTAAAGCCACAAACACAAGCCAAAATTCTGTCAAGCAATTGGGGAAAAGAGGCATGATCTCTATTTGATAAACTCACTGATCTTTTTCCCCGCATAGTGGAGAACGGGCAGCAGGAACAGCAACAGGATCAGCCAGGCGTGCATCCAGATGCGGACAATCACATGACCCCAGATGACAGCCATGAAGTACTGGTTGGTCACAGGCCCCGGGGCCGGCTCCTCAGCTCCGTCTCCCTGCTCCCCATCTCCCGGTCTCTCAGGCTTTTTCTGAAGTTACAAGAGAAGAATACCACATTCTTATTCATGTTTCTATATAATTATCTTTCTCCACAATTACAAGATAGTGAAACCAAACTTTATATTTATGTTTCTATAAACATTAATTTTTCTCTACACAGTCACAAGATAATAAAACCACACTCATGTTCATGTACCTACATTTTTTCAATACAATTACTAGGCAGTAAACCAGACCCCTTTTCAATCTTGTTCCGGTGTGGAGCTGGAGTCTTTTTATTCTTCTGTAATGGAATGGACTGCAGATGAAAGCATATTATTATCACCTTTGTGATAAGATCAGCTAACCCAAAAACTATGCAAACAAATTTTATTTAACCCTAGCAGCCAGGTTGTTGCATAATGAAACTAAACAACTAAACAAATGTTGTTGTGATTATCTGGAGAGATTTATCTCGCTGAAAGTTATTAAAAGGATGTGTTATGTGATGTCAGTCAGAATTCAGGAGGAAAAAATCCAACCCAAAAAGCATTTATGAGGCGTCCTGACAAAATGAGTTACTTCTCGCATTCCATAAATGGAGATAGTGTCAAAAAATTTTAGGGTCCAATTTGTAGATTTTCTATTGATGTCGTATATTCATTAACTATAACTTGTCTTTTATTATTTCATTTATAAATAGTAAAAACTTCACCTATAAGCGCGATGTATCTATTTCCTTAAGGCTTGAGCCCGGCATGCCTCAGATTTTCTGGGTTAGTTATAGAGTCCTGCAGCCATGATATGACTCATTTTGGCATATTGCTACACAATATCTCACCTGTTGTGTGGATACTGGTGTTCTCTCCGTGTCTAGACTCAGACTCCCAGGTTTGCGGACTTCCGAAGGTGGCGGGCGGACAATTGGACTTTCCTCCAACGTGGCCGACTGAGGGGCATCCGATGGGGCTTCTGCAGCCTGGAAAAAAAAAAGTAATTTTAAATGTTTCACGCCCCTATTGACAAAGTGTGGACTGTTTAGGAAGCAGGCTGCTTCAATACTGTATATTGTAAGTGTTTTACTGCCCCTTTGACACAATTTAGATTGTTGAAGATGCAAGATTCTTTATCTCTACCCATCACTGTCAACCCAGGCCGAAAGGGATAAAATCTCCACCTGCAGACAGATGGAGGTACTCGTTTAACAAAAAAAAGCTCCCTATTGAACCCATGTCCTCTGTATAGGAGGAGAAGAGTCCAACCCTTACACCACAGCTCCTGGTTCCTCAGTCAGGAACAGACAAAAGGAGAACTCGACGGAACATTTTACGCAACATTTGACATTTTCACGTGCAAAGGAGTCCGCTTAAAAATTAAAATCTGCGGGACAGCCAGACTTTCTTTGGTTCAGCTATGTTTTTGATTTCCTGAGATTGCTCAAATACTGAATTTTAAAATTATGGATTTTATTTTCTTTCGGTACCTTTTATCACTCTTTTCGAATTAACTGTGTTTGGCTTCAGCGGACTCCACTGTAAGTGCTTCTGAATAACAATACAACTCTTCACTTCTGTGTGAGTTTTTCACCCTCCTAGTCTGAAGCAAGTTCTTTTGTACAGTTCATCATCTTATATCCTGTCGAACCTGTCCATAATGGACCCTCAAGATCACAGAGAAAAGTGAACATAAAAGAAATGTGGCCACTATGGACAGGGTCATTAAAGAGTTAAAAAAACAATTCCAAAATTCAAAACTTTTTTCTTTGTCCAACAATTGAACCCACATGTGACATTCTCATGATTTCACGGATTCATATAAAAATGAGCTTGGTTCCTGCATCAGAACAAACGGTGACCTTCACGGAGCAACCAGTCACGTATTGTTTGGAATACACAAAAAGGTCAGGACGTTTTTTTTAAAAAAATGTTCAGAAAGAGTTTTTACGCCCTGCCCCCACTGAGAGAATTTAGATTATTTAGGAGGTGGACTTTGACAAAGAACCCAGGTTGAGAGGATACAACCTTTCAAATGTAGAGAGACTAAGATACTCGATAATTTTTCGCACTTGGATATCAAACTCAGGTATCTTGCATATGATGACTAAGCGCCTATCCACTACACCACATCTTGTTTGTTTGTTTGTTTTAGTAAGGTTTTTTTGGCCCTCGCAACTGCATAAGGTCATACGAGTGCCAAGGGGTGGAAGTCAACAGAGAAGTTCAAATGAGGAATCAGGCTTACTCTGCTCATCTCTCTGACCTCAACAGCACAAGGTCTGCTTCAACTATCAAGGCACCCCGGAAATATCAGTTCACAAGAGAGTGATAAACATACAAAAGAAGTAGAGGAAAAATGATGATAGTAAGGATGAGGAAAGAAAAAGCAGCAGTCCCCCCTATGGTATTCCGGCACAGTATGAGCATGATATTGATAAATCAGCCCATTTACAATTCTACTGAGCATAAAAACATGTCAATACCCCCCCCCCCCTTTGGGAATGGCTTAAAAGACACTTAAGTCAGGGGCGCTGCCCTGGGGGGGGGGGGGGGGAAGCTGCTGGAACATCTGGACTGATAGTGTGTGCCCAAGTATGAAGACTTGTAAGTTTAGCTGCACTGCACAACACAAACAGTCAGTCATCTTTTACTGTTTGAGTAAGGAGAAGCACACTGACAAAATAACGGTTGTTTGGTTCTGGGATAAACCAAGTTAGACATACATATCTATATATATATATATATATATATATATCTCTCTCTCTCTCTCTCTCTCTCTCTCTCTCTCTCTCTCTCTATATATATATATATATATATATATATATATATATAATATACATAATATATATAACAGAGAGAGAAACAAAAGTAGGACCTACAGATGGCACCCTCAAACAAACCACTCACTCTGTTTAAAAATAGTTGTTATATAAACTTTACTCAAGTGCACAGATTTGCAGCCAAGCAACGCATGGAAAAAAAAACCCAAGACAAAAGTAGTAACTCTTGCAGTCATTCAGAATAATTACCTGTGATGAATCTTCACCTTCACTGGCTGAGTCAGTGGGAAATCCCAAAACAGAGCAAAAGGTTGAGTAGAAAGAGGATGATGACTTCATCTGTGAGTCACCAGCTAGACACAGCAAGGGAAGAAAAATCAATATATTATGAATAATGATGAGGAATTCTACTCAGTGGGTTCACATAAAATGCTAAATATAACTTAAAAGCTTTGAACTTAAAATGACATTTTATACAAATTAGCTAATTATGGATTTTCAAACACTGCCTGCGACATCCAAAAGGGTAAAAGTGACAGATTAAAGTAAGTCAAACACTGAACATCGATGCCAATATTGAATTCTACCATTTGGTTAGCAACATATATCATATCTAATATATATATTATATTAATTGTATATATGCACAGGGCATCATTATAAACCAATTAAATGTCTATAAGCTTTTAGCATGACAACTTTGAACTTAGGGCTTAGACAATAGGAACATTGACAATCCACATACCATTTCTGGTCACTATACAAGTGTGCATCTCCCTATTTTTTACCTGGGATTACTGTGTGTATCCGAGGACACATCCCAGTGACTACAATACACTGGGTTTTTTTTTGCACTCTACTTGATTTCGCTATTTTCAAAATTTTAGAAGAAATCTGTAAACCAGGCGATCATTCACAAGTTTGGTTCATCTTAGTAGGGTCTCTTGTTTTCTCTACTTTCCAGAGATGCAGTCGACTTTGTTTAATTATAGGAAGTCTTAAAACACAAAATTCCTGACCACATTTAAGAACTTCTAATCCCTTCCCTTTTTCATTCTCGATGTATTGAAACTTCTGTTAACACAAATCTTTTTAAATAAACAAATGTTCTGGTCTCGTGAAGTTGTGTTAAAGTTACACATATATTATATATCAGGGTTTATTTCTTTCACTCAACCCTGTTTCCTGACAGGGGACCAAAAACTCTACCTTCGACACATCCTTCACTGCATCTACTGGAACATTATATAATCATGCATGGGTCTCAACTCGGAATTTTTAAAAAGGAGGAACTTTCCGCGTGATCGCGACAGAAGCCCATTTTCGCGAGACACCCACTATTATTATACTGTTGGACCATAGAATGTTGAAATAAAAACCATCAATTTATCAAAGGAAGGTTATTTCATACCAGTTTGAGGGTTTGGAAGATAATTTCAAGTTAGAGTCACTTACCAAATATTTACAATCTTGATTACGTACAGAAAGTGGAGGCGCACTGTGGTCTTGTGCGACTTATTTATATTTTACCTTCATCATATTCGTCTATATAAACTATAAAAATAAATCTTGTTTTGAGCCTGGGAAAAGGCCTAGAACCAGAATATCGACTGTCATGAACCAGTCTGGGTGTAATGATTCATATAATATACGTGAAAGACAAAATTAATGCTCAAACTCAAAGTAGAGTACATGTAATAACTTGAATAGCTCAAGTAAACCTATTCAGTGTGAGGGGTGTAAGAACTGTGGGAGGGCAAGATACAGTGACACTGAAAATTTGCGAATCTGGAACAAAAAACTAAAATATAGAGATATAATTTACTGTCACCCTTCCAATGAAACGCGAACACTGAGGCCCCTGCCCTAAGTTCATTAACACGCTTACAAGTAGTTATGACGGATCCCGATTATACACAAGGCATGCACAAACGCGCACTTTACTTTGCAGAGAGCTGTAGTAGTAATCAAAATTCTAAATATTAAAATTTGCTTCCAATTTCTTTTCTTCTTTTGTCATCTGGTGTTGCGTCCAGCCCTCCCCCCATCCCCGAGTGTATCTTTAAAAAAAAAATCAATAATCTTTCCCCCATTCCAGAGTCCTGTACTTCACAGCGCTCAGAACGCGCGCAGGTTCATTGACCGGTCACAATGATGAGCCCGACAAGACGTTTGTATAACGTTTTCTTTTTCTCCCCCCCCCCCCACAAGTGACAGCACAGTGACGAACATTATTTTCATGGCAACACCACGTTTGTAATGCAGAACCTGCATGTTACAAATGTTGCGTATTCAGACTTTTACAGACAAATTTCTGAGATCTTGATTTTCCGGTCGAGCCTCGGTGTCACATACAATTCCGCTTGCCGCCATAGCCGCCTGTTCGCGTGAAACGTACTCTCAGACCGGGAAAAGTTGAATTAACATCACAATCGCGACCGGCAAAAAATGAACTTAAAGACGTTATAATCGGATTTGGTTTTCAAATAATATTCGAGATCTTTTATGTATTTTCCCGCGTCTCGGCGATTTTTTAAATCAAATTCCCGGGTAATTCCCGAGGCCTGGCAGTCACTCTGCTCCCAGCAACTCTCTTTCTGATTGACCCGCTTTCGCTGTAGCAGAGTTTAGCGGAGGACATGGCCGTAGCGGAAATCCGCTAAATAGCGGAGTATTGAGACCCATGTCATGTCATGATTATCAGGAAACTTAATTAAAATGCAAACAAAAACTTTTACCCTGCTGCTTGGCTTGGCCCATCTCCACCACAAAGCCAACAACCATGATGATCACCATAAGGATAAGAAGTGGCACTCGGAAAAAGCCAGCCACATTGGCGATGTGAAGGAGCAGAGCTGTCCAGATGGGAACAGTCAGGTAATGCAACCACTTCTGAGACTCAGGCGTCCACAAGAAAACGATCACCAGGAAGTATGAGATGAAGAGAGTCCACACCTGTGTAATAGTAATTAAGATAAATAAATTATAATTGTATTGAGTAAGTTTCAAAAGTTGTTGTTTAAATGATAGAAGTGGATGGATATTTTCATCTCATTAAATAAAGCCTTAATATAAAATTTAATAAGCAATAATGGTGCACAAATTTTTGTATCATCAAGTAAGTACTTAGAATCAAGATAGAGCCTAGAAAGCATAAATTGTGTCACGACGCAGTGGAATCAGGCGATCGTCAATTTTTTCGTCAAGTGGAGTTATTGGTATCATCTGAAAGCTTATTCATTTGCCTCACTTTCTATGGAAAAAATACCCATCTATCTTGAATAAAAGTCAAGGTATTTGCCAGTGAAGGAGGCGGGGGTAGCATAGTTTCAGAGAGGTAAAATTAGCGAAGAAATAAATGGCTGTAAAAGTTTGGTAAGTTCTATAGTTTTGTCCTTGAAAACTGAAAATTTGGATACCATTAATCAATATTTTCCAGTAAAATTCATACAAAAATATGTTTTTATATAAGGACATACAATGTGATGAGCCAAAAAACAAAAATTGGAAAAAGAAAATTGCCAAACTTGAGGAAAAATGGCTGTTTCTTCGATTTCATCATTTTGAGACGAGCGCCTGATTTCACCACAATGCCTCACATTGCTTGTTCCAAGTAATTCATTGCCACTAAAACTACAAACGTCTGTTGATAAATCAGTAACGATCCCGCCCTATGTCAGCTGAGTCGCTGTTCGGTCTCATTCTCTCGTCTTTTACTTAGAGGAGAGTGTATTATCTGACAATGTTTCTAAAATAATCCTCTATTATAATAAAAAAAGCCCCTCTAAACAAAAATATTATAGTCCCTGTTATTTATAATAAATGTTTAAATGACATAAAAGCTAAAGAGGTCAACATAACACCCAATTTAATTTTTTAAGCGTTCAAAACTAGCGGAGCGTAAAGGCAGGTTGTACGCAATGGATCGTCCTTTCCTCCACTTTCGCCCCCTCAATATCAATTTAGCCTTACATGAAGGGGTTTTATTAAGTAAATGACCATGACCCAACCCCTACCCCGAACTCTAACCCTCTATTCTACCGTGCCGTACGAGTCTTAATCTTTGGTCGCTCATAGCGGAATTCCTCCCCAAGTGATGATGATCATGATAGTTGATAGTAATGATAGCCATTCTACAAAATTTTTGGAACCAGCCAAATTTTAAAAAAAAACAAGGCAAGACCCTTTACTTGTGACCAATAAACTTACCCAAAGAGAACTGAAGTATCCAAGGAAGTCATACAGAAAGCTCAAGATGGACTGAACCGCAAAAAATAAATTACGAAGAGGGGCGAAATGATAGAGGAGATAAATCAGTGGCAGGCCTACGAAAACACCAACTAAGAGTTTCACGTTTTCCCATATGCCGTTAGTCAAAGACTCAGTCATGTTGTTTGCAACTTGAAATGGCAACGCCACAGCTCCTAAAGCAAAAGGCGTTCCTGATGACTGGAGACTTCTCAGCCAGTTCCTCAGGACATTCGTCAGGCTTCGTTTGAATGGATACAGAAAGGTGCCACATAGCACAGCCCAGTACAGAGGTCGAATAAAGGGAGAAAGGATAAAATACACAGCAACCAGTACTGCAGCAGCTATAAGGATAAATATATTCGCCACAGTGTTGTATACGGCTTGCTTTAGGGGCTTTTCATGCCCTTGAGGAACGTATTGCCACATCGTATTCAAATACTCCATTGGCGGAGTAGCCATCTTGATGAAGCCGGAGGGAGAAGAATAAAAACAATGTCACGTGACAATGCGGGAATGCCCGAAGAGTTCTGAGAAGTGAAAAGTTGGAGAGCTTATCTTTCCCCGTCCCCTTGGCGTCAGCCTTTGTCAACACGGCTGTTTCTTGGTCCTCAAAAGACATCAATCAACTCGGAAATTAGTCAGTGGTGTGACAAGGATCTTGCTTGAGTTGTAGGTAATCTTCAATAACCGTTTACTTGTCGACAGTGTATATAAATCACATTTTGTACCACCCCTTGGCCTAAGTCGCCTTAGACTTGTTCAACTTGTACTCCGCCTGTACTCCGCCTTAGATCATATTGAGGGCTTACTTCGTTTAAGTAGCCTATTCGTTGGCCTCAGCTACCGTGATATTTTTTTTTATACAGTCAAACCTGCCTTAACGGAAACCTGTATAAAACGGACACCTGTCTTAACGGAA